GTCCTTTTCTGCAGAACTGCTGCCTAGCCAGTCAGTCCTCAGCCTGTACCAGTGCATGGGGTTTTTCCATCACAAGTGCAGAAATTTGCACTTGTCCTTATTGAACTTCATGAAGTTTCTTTTGGTCCAATCCTCCAATTTGTCTAGGTCTGTCTGAATCCTAGTCCTACCCTCCAGCTTGGTGTCATCTGCAGACTTGCTGAGCATGCACTCCATCCCATCTTCCAGATCATGGATAAAGATATTGAACAAAACTGGCCCCAGGACCAACCCCTGGGGCACTCACTCTGATTCCCCCTTGGTCCCCAGAATTGCTGAGCCAGGGCGCTCAGGTCCCCTGGTTCCAGCTCCAGCTCCTCCTCTGGCAGTGGGAGGCTCACACTGGGAGATGACATTGGGGTAGAGGAGACAGTGATTCTGCTGCTGGTGCCTTTTTCTGGAGTTAGGAGAGGTGGTGCAGGTGCAGGGATGTCAGGTACAGGTACTGCTGCCACCTCCTTGCTTTCACTGGCAGCAGAAGCCTCATGGTTCCTTGGGAAGAGGATGCATCTGTGGTTGGGTGGGGGAGAACTTGCAGCTCTACCTCTCCCCCATCCCCTCCCCCTCCCTGCCAGAAGACCTGGCACCTGCCTTTCCAGCACGCTTCATATTAACCTTTACTGTGCTGCAAAAGGTGTGTGTGTGACTCCTTTTGTGTGTTTTATTTCCTCTGTGTTGCATGTGCTGGACTCTGCTTTGATTATTAATAACTATATATGGTGTCTTCTGTGTTGTGTTATTAATGCGAATGTGTGACTACTACTGTACTTCTTGTTCTTCTTCTGTGTTGTAACGTGTAGCTAAAATAATATAATTCCTTCTTCTGGGACTCTTTCTGTGTTGTGTGTGTTAATTTCAATCTGAATCTCTATCTGACTTCTGTGTTGTCTTTAGTCTTTATATAAACTAACTATAATAATATTAATAACTAATAACTATATATAATCTGATTTTAAATCTCTTTTTATATGAATATCTGACTTCTTCTGTGATGTGTGTGTGTAATATGTGCTATTCCCTGCACAGTGATGGATCACACTGCCAGGGAAAACACTGAGCTTTCTTTTTTTTAAAGTATTGCAAAAAAGAAAGAAAGAAAGAAAACATAAATTGAAAGAAATTAATTGGATAAGTAGTAAACTAGAGAGGTGCTAAGATAAACTAAGCTATATCCTATCCAATCCTTTCTAACAGCAAAAAGTAGCAGGCCACTGACTAGGAAGCCAGGCCAGTAGCCACAGTACCTTTGAAACACTGTTGCTCAGACAGAAACAGCTCAGGAAAGGGACAGAAACGCCTGCACACAGAGGCTTTTATGCTGTTTCTATGTCCCTTCCCACAGACACTGCGATTGGAACAGCAGTCAGGGAAAAATCACAGTCACTGGCCAGCTAGAGTTGTCAGTCCTTCCCCCACTGCTCCCCCTCCCTTCCCTTCTCCCCCTCCCTCTTCTAAGTTTCTGTTTCCCCATAAAGACCGCCTTCCAAGTCACTGAATCTCTTATGAATGGATTCAGAGGCTCCAAATCAATTTGGAAGGTTTTAAGCGTCTAGCAATTCGATTCAGAGTCGGAGATTCAGCCTCTGAATCGGGCCAAATCTTCTCCAAATCGAATTGCAAACCAAAGGTTCGCACAGCCCTAGTTGCCTCCCCTATTCAGTAAAGGATTGACACTTTCCCTCATCTTCTTTTGTTCCTAACATACTTGTAGATATCCTTCTTGTTACCCTTCACATCTCTTACTCTCTGAAACTCCAGTTTTGGCCTTCCTGATTTCAGTTCCTGCATGCCCAAGCAATACTCTTATACTCTTCCCTAGTCATTTATCCAAGTTTCCACTTCTTGTAAGCTTCCTTTTTGTGTTTAAGCTCACTGAAGAATTCCCTGGTAAGCCAAGCTGGTCTTCTACCATATTTACTAGTCTTCCGGTGTATTGGGATGGTTCTTTCCTGCCATCCAAGCAGACGTCAGGGTGATTGAAGTCCCCCATAAGAACCAGGGCCAGTGATCAGGAAACTTCCTTTAGCTGTTTGAAGAAAGCCTCATCTACCTCATACTCCTGGTCTGGTGGTCTGTAGCAGGCACCCACCATGACATCACCCTTGTTGCTCTCCCCTCTGACCCTCACCCAGAGACTTTCAATAGGCCTGTATCCAGTTTCATACTGGAGCTCTGAGCAATTGTATAGGTCTTTAACATAAGGCGTAACTCCTCCTCTTCTCCACTGTTTGTCCTTCCCGAACAGTTTATACTCATCCATGACAGTACTCTAGTTATGTGAGCTATCCAACCAAGTTTCTGTTATTCCAATCACATCACAATGTACATCATGCACAATGCTGTGTGCTGGCTGGCTACTACCCTTCACCCCAGAAGTGGTTGTGTTTAAATGTTCTCATAGATAGAAGGTGTGCAGTGCCATTGGATCCCTCATCATGTAAAGCAGTACACAAGCATTTGTGCATTAAATGCAATAAACAATTATTGATTATAATTATTTTACATTATTGATTATGCTAACTCCTCAAGATTGTATATAGCCTTTGCTTAAGTAAAACTCATCCTGAAGTTGAATTGGAACTGAGTAAGACTAGAGGAAAAACTTTAGGATTTAGCTTTTATCATCATTTTAGTAGGCAATGAAGCTCTGGATGGAATGCAAAACTCAGTAAAAGGGAGAGCTCAAGAAAGCAAAATGTTAATCCTATCTATGGAGTTACATGTTACATAAACTTTTTGTCTTGTCACATTGTAATGAATGTTACCTCCCCTGTATTTTCCATTCAACAAAAATGAGACAATACAATGTACACAAGAATGCAATGCTAAAGGAAATACTGTAACCAAACAGTAGACAAGAAATTGGATATGAAGTGGATATTGTTCTGGCCCATAAGAGATTGGGTTACAGAGGTAAACAACAATACCATACAAACAGGATTTATAGGAAACTTTCTTGACAGAGGACAAAGGTTTTAATAAAGAATAAGAAAATAAGATGAATTCTTAGCCTTAGAACAAGCAAAAAAAGAGATAACAATGACTCATTGATGTTCAAGGTTGCAAGAAAAAAAGTGAAAGAAAACTATGCCAGCTGTCAGTTTTGCAATAATATAGAAGAGAAAGGGAAAGGTCTAAGCTTAATATTGAAGAAAAGAGTGACAGAAAGGAGGCTAGGCTCTTTGGCTATTAGGTATGAAACCATGAATGCATACACATACACCTACATTTTATGCAAGGACATTGGAATATAGTTTATCAGGAAAAATTGTTCCTGATGTAATGTGAATGCGATGTGTGTAACAGTAGAAGGAACCAGGGGGGCATCACAGAGCTGTGATGACTGTTAATTGCAACTCCCAGAAACCCCCAGGGTTTGGGGGGGCAAGAGAAAAAGAGACAGGGAGCTTGAGGCTAGAGAAAAGGAATGGAAGAGCCGCATGCACATGGAACCTGGTCAGCCCTACGCAGAGGACAGCACAGTGGAGCTGGAGATCTCACTGGCTTGATCAGCCAGGACTGATCAAGGAGCTGGACTCAGACTTGGGGGCAGTTGTAGGCTGCTGTTTGAGTACTCTAGAGACTAAAGGCTTGTTTGGGGATACCTCCAGATGTATGGGTGGGAAATTAAGGTCCTGAGTGTATGTTACCACAGTGCTGATATTCCTTTACCTTTTCCCTGTTCCTTCCCTTTGGCTTGTGGCCCGAACCCCTATGGTTTTCTTTATAAAGCTGGGAACTCCCGCTTGCTTCTTGGCCAGTTTCTGGGGCTGGATGGGTTGGCACGCTGGAAACATGATTACCCAAACTTCTCCAGAAAGTTAAATATAAAAGAGATTAATTTTCTTTTATATGGACAGTTTATGGAAAAGTCTCTTGTAGTAGTTCCCCAGATCTTCCTAGAAAAATCATTTCTCTGAAAGAGTACTTACCAGCTAAAAAAGGGGGTGGGACTTTAAAAGGGACTTTACAAAACACCTCCAGAAGACAGGCCTGGGAAAAGAAATCATAATCCTACCGAACAGCAAAAAATCAGGACTTAATACAGACCGTGTCCTTCAGGGTTGATTACAATCTAACAAATATTTCCACTAATCTCCCTGTACTTCATAGGTCATAACTAGCCTCTCCTTGAGTAGTCTTGCTCTGTCCCTAACAAGACTGCCTATTGTCTCTACCTAAACCATCCTAGACAAGTGTCTGCATATCTTAAACTCTGGGAACAACCTTCATATACAACTACCAGGCATAATGCATGCAATATATATATAAAAAAACCCAAAATAAAAAAAACCTTTTATGTATTGTCAATGTCTTACCAACAAAGGACAGAAAGCAGTTTGATAAAATATGCTCAAAAGATCCAAGGGAGAGAAGCACACATTCAGAAAAAAAAATAGCCCTCACCCCCACCCCACCCAATGGTCAATGCCCATCTGACCATGGGGTAAAATTCCTTCCTCATCTTAAATGTTGTGTTTGGTCTGACCTTGAATGGAAGAGCAAGTCCCTCTAACTAAGAAACTAAGTTTTCTAAGTCCCAGCAGGGGCATTGGCAAACCGTGGTCAAGATCCCCAGCCTTGGATGTGGCTAACAAACAATGTCGCTAACTGGTATAGGCATACACGTAAAAAAAATCAACAATTTCCAGCATAAAAAACTTCATCATAAAATTCCCCATCTAGTTCTAGCTGTAATGTGGCCTTGGCCAAAACAATTCATTTTGCAGACCTCAGTGTCCCCGTTTAAGAGAAGGCATAATGCCCTCCTTTGTAAAGTACTTTGAGATCTACTGATGAAAAGCACTATATGAAAGCTAGGTATTATTTACTGTTATTCCTATTAAGTCCTGATCTCACAATGGGTTCCATGTAGGCAGACTTATGAGCCTACTCCAGGAGAAAAACAAGAACTTCAGTTAAGTTTACCATGCCTCATGGTTTTTCTCTCCCTGCTGCAGCGTCATTTACTCCATCGTGATTCGAACCATATGGATGAAGAGTAAAGCTCAAACTGTGGTCATGTCCAGCTGCACTGGTGAGTCTCAAGACACAAAATCCTGATCTGTATTTTCCTATTCCCAGCAACAGGAAACACTTCCTTTTCCCTCAAAGTCTAGAAATGTATGAACCTGGAATTTTGTTTGGGGTCCAACATCTAATAATGAAGGGAAGTATTATCTTGTAACTCTTGCCTATTCACAATGCCTTTCTAACTGACTGGGATAATTTCCTTGCTTTGATAATCCTATTTTTACAAGGGATAAACAAATTTGGTTTGCAGAAACAGGGGTAGACACTAATATTCCCTCTAAAGCTTTAACCCATTTCTGCAACTAAAATCTTTATTTTTTTTACCATATTTTGATATGCCTGTGCACTTGTAGATTCCAGTCAGGCCCAGAAATAAATCAAATGCCAAAATACCTCAAGAAGATCTTTTTCTCCTGAGATTTCTATCCTAATTATGCAGGTCAAAAAGGCTTTTTCCATTTGGAGATGGCTGGGGAAATATACAAGTTTTTTATCAGAACACAAACTACAGACAGGTGGAGGTTTTCCACTCACCAGTCATCATCACTAACCTGTTCATTCCCACACACACAACATTAATAATTTATCTCTGAAGTTGAAAGAACCTTTCTTCTAAGACAGGTTAAAAAGCTCTATGATTTTATAAAACTAAAAATATGTAGTCAGTGACCCCAGCTGAATTAAGGTCCTAAGCAATGCAAGTATTGCATTTATAACTAGGCTAGTATACTAAACCTAGTTAATTGTTACTCCTTCTAGAAATTTACTGCAGTCCACTATTCCCAGAGAGAAAGAGAGAGAGAGAAAATTAAATTTTCCAATGTAAATATCAGACTTTACTCAAGTGTCATGCTATTATGATGTGAATAGTGCATTTATTTACTAATAAATTTCACCTCCAAAAGTTGCATGTGTATTCTTAATGGTAGCATACCCTACATTTGCATGTATAAATTAAGTATATAAATGCATACACCGTTGCCTGTTTATGCATAAGCATTAAGAAATAACATCATGAGGCTTCCACATAGCCATCACTGAATCATAACATCAAACCAGCCAATCGCAGACTTACAGGCTAATACAATTTATCCTGCCTGAACAGGGATGGTTTGGATTTCTAACCACTTCCTAACTTTAGGATACAGTCTCAACTGGCTTAAGAAGAAAAATCTACTTTCACATCTCTAGAGTATATGCTCCTCTTTGGACAAATATTTAACTTTCATTAACATTAATGGCTTCTACAGGCTTCTGGGTGGGAATTTTCACTGGTTCCAATCTGATTACATCAATTACACAGCCTTGACAAGTTTGTCCTGGAAGAAGTGCAGAAAACATTAAAATATACATGGTGGGCCATTTCAATTCTAACCTAAGGTTACTCAAATCAAAAAAATATGATTCCAAAAGTGTATTCTATGTTGAACCATATTAATATCCATAACTGCTGCAAAATCAAGCCCAAAACTATTTGAAGGTTACTATTCAACTATTAGGAATTGTTTCTCTCCTCAAACTCACTGCAGTGGAACTCCACTTGATTTCCAGAATTCTGTCCATGGTTTTACAATTTGAGGTATACCTCATCTGATAATCGCTTGAGCAAAAGGCTTCTTTTCATTATTAAGTCAATATGAAAAATATAGAAGTGGGCCTGTTTACATATGGCATCAAACAGTGAAGCAGTGAACAAGACTGAAGAAATGGAATCACACTGCTTTTCATTTAACAAAATGCAGGTAAACGAATTATAAACCTGTTTGCCAAGATCTTTTTAAAAAAATTACTTTTAAGGCTTTTCACAAATTGCCTTGTATAAAGTACCATTGTTGTTGCTGTAAATGCAAAGCTGAGCTGCGACTTGTGATATTGCCTGGCTCCAGGTTTAGGTGCAACTTCTAGGTGCCTGATTTTAAGAGGGTACAGCAGTGGGCCTCAACTTCTTTTAGCCTCAAGACCTCCATCACTTTTTATCACTCCATTTATCCCTTGCTGGGTGAGTCCTACATTTGAACTTTCCTTCTCTTATTTCCACAGATGGTAAATTCTGCACTAGTTTTACTAATCGAGGCCTCATATCCAAAGCTAAAGTTAAAGCTGTCAAGTACAGCATCGTAATTATTCTTGGTGAGTAAATCCATGCTGTCGGTAACTATACATCTACAACTATAATGAGAAAGGACATGGCATAGAAAAGAGAGGCAATTGTTTTCCTGTTATCCAAGTTTCTTCTAAAAAGGAAGAAACCTGAATAAGGGGTTATAATAAATAATTCTTCTAAAGTGCTAGAAAGAACCCCATAGTCCAACCCTCTGCCTGAGGCAGGATCATCCCTATTCAAACCATCCCATACAACCATAATCTAAACTCTACGTAAGATTACCTTCAGCCATGACACAACGTAGATCTATACCCTAAGCTGCCACAGGTAAAGCAGAGGAACCACAGCAGCCAATGTCTTGCTCCTATAAAACATTGTCAGTATACGCTCAAGAGGTCCGGGGCAGAGGGCCATGCCCACCACTACAGAGGAAGGCAAAACCCCCCATGGTCCTGATCCCAAATATGGTGACTGGTCTGACCCTCAACATGCTGAAATTTGCTACACATCAGCTTCATTTCCCATGGATTACATCTGCTGGGACTCCAGAAGTCTGGAGAGCAGGATGGATGGGGATGACGACACAATTTTATACCAATCTGAATTGACATTAGAAGCGTGCTGATTAATCTAATGGGAACAATGAACTTTCCTACCAAATCATGTAGCAAATTCCTCAGTGCATGTGTCCCTCAATGTTCATTTCAAGATTACTTTGGCATAATGATAATGATAATTGGCTGACAGCATATGAAGAAAAATAAATGTAGCATTACATGGGCCTTGTGATTAGCCAGCAGCTCCACCACAGGGAGATCATTGTAGCCATTTACTTACATAGCTGACATCCACGCCTGTAGTCATAAAACTGCCCCCTATAGCTACATGCTCAGAGATGCATTTCTCTTTTCCTTTTAAGGACAGCATTTAGAGTGCTTTATTTTGTGGCAGTAACTATCAGTTTAGATACTTATTTAACATTTCAGCAGTAGTATTCACACACATGAAATACATTTCTCTGTTTCAAGTTTTTCACAAGATCCAAGTCACAGCTGGTTGAAATGTGTCCATTTTTCAATGAAAAGAACGCCTTTCTTAGAGATTCCTACCATTACAAAGCTGTCAGACAACATCTACTATTAAATGTTGAAGTTTATTGTACAACTCGCTTATGTCACCTGGGATCTTCAAAGCAGTCCAAGGGAATTAGGGACCTTAATTTGTTGGTATTTCAATTGAAACTGGCTTAAGAAAACCCAAAAGTTCTTTTGAAAATCTCAGCCTACAAGGATGTAATAACAGTGTATAACTATTACACTGCTATTATTATAGCTGTGTAACAGTCTATAGTCATTCTTTCTCTTTCTCCAGACCTGTGACAGGCACCTCTGTAATTTAAAGAAACATATGGCACACTGCTCACCATGGTCTGCTTGTAAAGATGCAACAAGTATGACATTTCACATGAAAAGGCAAACACTTTGCATCTTCCACATACATTTCTTATGTACTCAGACAAGCATCAGTTGGAAATATGTTGTTTAGAGCAATGAAATCAATCAGTCAATCAGACAGAATTCAGCAAGGACAACTGCAAAGTCCTGTACTTGGCACAGAATAACTGCACAAATATAGAATGAGGAATGACTGGCTAGATGGCAGTACTGCTGAAAAGGACCCAGGATTATAGTAAGCCATAAATTGAATATGAGACAACAGTGTGCTCTTGTTGCAAAAAAGCCAATAGCCTACTGGACTTTATTAACAGGATTCTCACTTGTAAATCAAAGCAATTCTTCTGTTCTCTTTAGCACTGGTGAGGCTTCATTTAGAGTAGTATTTCTAGGTGTGGGCCCCACTCTTCAAGAAAGATGTGGACAGTTTGGAAAGAGTCCAATGCAGAGCAACAAAAATTATTAGGGGCTTGGGAGGCAAGACTTAGGGAGAAGGGGCTAAAAGAACTTGGGTTATTTAATGTGGAGAAGAGAAGACTGAGGCAGGATTTGAGGAAATCAAATACCTAAAGGGTGATTACAGAAAGGATGGAGATGCACTTTTCTCTGGGACAGTAGGGCACAGGAATAGGAGCAAAGGCCCCAAGACTGAGCAGGGGACATTTAAATTGGAGATTAGGAGGAACTTTCTGATTATGGGGGTGGTCAAGCATTGGAACAGGATACTTAGAGAAATTGTGGAATCGCCATCTTGGCCATTCTCAAGAGCAGGTTAAACAAATGCTTAATTGGAACAGTTTAGTCAGGGGTGATCCTGCCTTGAGCTGGGGGTTGGTAATCTATGAATACATTTACTAAAAGATGTCATAAATAATCTTTTAATTAAGATGCTTTGATGGGGAGCGAGACTCTCACATGACCAAACTGTTTGATATTATCCCAAGTCAATGTTATGATGATCTCCTCACATATTTACCCCATATAACTTCATGTTTTTAAGTTGTCTCTTTCTTTTGCAGCATTTGTACTCTGCTGGAGTCCTTACTTTCTCTTTGATATTCTGGACAACTTTAATGTACTTCCCAAGACCAAAGAACGCTTCTATGCATCCGTGATAATTCAGAATCTCCCATCTTTAAACAGTGCCATCAATCCCCTCATATACTGTGTCTTCAGCAATCATCCCTGCTGCCCTTTTAGGTACTGCTTCTTTATGCCCCTTCCCCTTCTGCCAAAAAGAGGGGGGCAAAATCATTGAACTTCACCCATTTTGTAGAGGATTTTTTTTTAACTTTACCTTTTATTTTCTTTAGGGAAAGAAGAGCAAGAAACTTAGGGGGAACTTTCAGAGACAGAACTGACAGGCAGGAGATGCAGGTTCTGTCCAACCCTGAATACATCTAGTGCATGTGTATCAAAGTCACACAAATAGTGCCTGGGGAAAGCAAATACTCATTCATGTTCAGCAGCATATGTCTTTTGCAATAGCACTGCAGATTCATTCATGGTAAACCCTACAGCCGGGGTCAGCAACCCTGGCATGCATGCCATGGAGACATTTTTCCCAGCATGCCGGGAGGCATGCAAGGCAATTGCTTAGTTTTTTTTTTAAGTTGCTGCTCTGGGATCTCCCATGCAGCCACAAGTCCCAGCAGGCACCAGGGCAGAGCCAGGAGAACACAGGGGGAGACGTTGTGTTCTGCTGTCCCTGCCCTTTGCACGGCTGGCCCCTGGAGGGAGCTGCAGGTGGACAGGGCTGGTGCTGGGGCAGGCGCTGCGCAGGGCCACTACCCTGGAGGCTTCCAGCAGGTGGCAAAACCCTTGGCCCAGGCAGGAAGGGACCCTGTCCCACCCGGGCGTGCCAGCACTGGGGTGCTGAGTGCTGTGGCCGGCTGGTTACGGCAGGGTCTGGGTGGTGTGGGGGGTGGGAGCACTGCAGGCAAGCCAGCCTAGTTGGGACCTTAGGAAGGCAAGGGCTGGGTGGGAAGTGGGGGCTGCTCCAGGGCTCTGTAGGCTTGAGCTGTGGTGGACATGCGAGCCGTGCCCAGCAGCACCCATGGTGGGGCCTGGCCTGGCCTGTGCAGCTCTGCAGGGATAGGCCACCGCCACCCTGTGTGTGAGGGGATGCTGTCTGGCTGGGGCGGGAAGCCAGGCTCGGGGGGCATCACAATCACAATCAGAATCAGCCTCCCTGCATACTAGGCACAGTGCAATCAGGGCAGAGCTGTCCTTGGTGGAAGGGCCTGGCCATGGGAGCCCCCTGGATCCTGGGAACAGCCATCGCGGCTGCCCAACGTGCCCAGACCCCAGCCTCACCCACCCACAGCTCCCTGCAAGGGGCCAGGGCAGGGACCAGGGCAGGCACTGTACAGAGCCGCTGCGCTGCAGGCTTCTGGCCAGCTCAGCCCTGACCACTGGCTGTGGCAGCTGTTCCCAGAGCCAGGGGGAACAGCCTACGGCTGCGGCTGCAGCTCCTACTTGCACTGGACCCGGCATGCACAGAGGCCAAGAGCCCAGAGTCCTGCCCCAGCAAGGCAGCATCCCTTTGTGGGCAGTGTGACTGTGCTCCATCCCTGCAGAGCTGCGTGGGCTGGCTGGGCCCCACCTCCAGTGCTGCTGGCCCCCGTACCACCCCCCCCACCACCACTATGGCCTGTGTCTGCAGAGCCCTGGAGCAGCCCCTGTTCCGCACCTGACCCCTGCTCTCCTCTGGCTGCAGCCTTTCCAAGGGCCTGGCCAGGCCAGCCTGCCTGGGGTGACTCCTCCCAGTGCCTGCTGCTCCTGGCTCCTCTCTCCCTCTCATCACAACATGCTTAACATGAAAAAAAAAATCACAAATACAAAGGCAGTACATGAAGTTTTTTTTATTGTCACCAGGTTTAGAATTTTTAGAAAACCTGGTATTTACTGTAAGAAGAAGCAGCAGCAACATTTATGATTATTAACTGTATTAAATATGCAGTACATCCTGCCATGTACCCCCCTCTCCCCGCCCCAGTTTTGTTTTTGTGGCATGCTGGCTCTCCAGCACCTTACAAGGTAGACATTGCGGGTTTTTTGGCACTCCTGCCCTACGGGGTCAAATTCAGCTGTGGAGTAAAGGGGACATTGCATACCTTTACATCATCACTGAATATGGCCCTCTACTCTCAGACTGTATCTAGTAGGTATCTATGTGGCATATATGAATGTAAATAAATTTTATCAGAATTTTCTAACTATTTTTAAAGATTATCCTGAAGGTCTCTATTGCACAGTATGTAACTGTTACAGATAGCAATTACAGACAGGGGCCTGTTTTAATACATTTGACATGAAGTATGGGTATCATTCCAGTCAAATCACCTTCAGTTTGATTTATTCGTAGAGCTTGGTTCTTCTACATGATGACTTTCAAAGCATACAACAAGACAAAGAAGAGGAAGGAATAACTAATAGGCCAAATCATCAAGGTGATACAAATTAGTACGATAATACTAGCGATATAAACCAAGTGCTTCGGAAGCTTTGGAATCTACTGGTTTATACCAGCTGTGGATCCTGCCTTAAATGTTTAAAAGACAATGAATGGTGTATTTATAGACGTGCATTATTGCAGGTGGCTTAAATTGTTTACTAATAATACAGGGGCTTTTGTGTTGTAATGTAAGGCCAGGCAGTCTCAGTAAAGTCCATAAAACTATTCACACATATAAGTGTTTACAGCATCATACTTTTAGGGCCTTTGTATACGACACTTTTTTCCCCTTTCTTGCGCTGCACCTGCAGGACTGTTTGCATGAGCGGGTTTTTCAGATGCTTTAAAAGTCTTTCTGGTGCATTAAAGTAAAACTCTGTGAATGTAGTTTAATTTGGCTCGCTAGGAATTAATGCATTGCGTCCATGAATTTGTTTCATGCAAACACAAAGGCACTCAAAGACATGTAATGAGCCTCTTTGGCCACCAGATGGCACTGTGACTTTGTTGTTCACCCCTTCAAATTGCTACCACTTTTGAATTGCTTCTGCTTTTTTTTTTTCTCTTGTGCAGTTTGCTGGCTCCATACTCTCACAGCTGCATGGTAGGGCATGGGTGACAGGCCTTAGGCCGGGAGGGCAGTGCTGGACCATCCCACTCTCCTGTGGCACAGACCGGTGACCAGGCTTAATTCGTTTAAAAACCAAGTGTGTGCAAACACTGATGTGACACTCCAAAATAAACAAGTTTAACTTTTATAAACCTATTTAATTTGATGAGGATTAAACCCTGTGGTGTCTATAGGCACCTTTGGATCTTATTTAGTATTATCCAGTGTTCAGCATTGACAGCTAGCTGTTTATTGTAGGTAACTAATTAATTTTACATCAGTCTTTTCTGTATTTAAGTATGCCCTGTAGAAAATGTAGGTAAAGTTTAGGTAATACTGTAAACTCTCTGGTAACCAGTACCTTACAAGCTGGCATGCTCTGTTAATCAGCATGCCGGCTTGTAAGGAAAAGTGAAACTGGAAATGCCCACAGTGGGCACTTCCAGGTTCTCCAAGCCCCCATGGCTTGAGGCAAAGCAGCCTGTGCTCCCAAGCCCCCATGACCTGGGGGCATAACAGGCTGTGCAGGGCTGTGCGGGACCCACTTCCCCATCCCACGGGGCCTGCAGGAGGGCTGGCGATGAGGTGGGGCAGCGCGGAGGGACACCGTGGGAGAAGCGGCAGCCGGGGCCACTCAATTAACCGGCATATTTTGTTATCCAGCATCCCCCATCCCCAAGGGATGCCGGATAACAGAGCTTTTACTGTATTGTTTATAATAAGGTAACCTTACCTTTCTACCATACATAAGGTAAAATTTCTTCTGTTGGTTGACTGATGTTTTTGATTTGGAAGTTGTTGATTACCACCTTCTACTTCTCAGTCCCAGATCATAGTCAGTGTCTCCATTTTTCACTGTGTTCCAGTCCACTCTATCTTGTTGTCTATGTAGCCGATTCTCTTCTTTTCCCTGAATAGTTTTCCTTTTCTCCTGCTTTTTAGTAGCTGTGGCAGTAGGGAGTCCTTGGAAGACTGTCACACAACAGATCCACAAAGTCTGAACTACTGTATCAGCCATCTGTTCTCTGGCCAATGCCATCCTCTGCAATATCCATTCATCATTCTAACAGCCAGCTAACTGTAAGCATGTTCCTTTAGCACCAGAATTCAAAGGCCTTCAAGATGTTTTTCAGTGTCCTTCCTGAGGATGGAACACTCACATTCATAAAGGTGTGTCAGATGTACAATTTGGCAATCTTAATCTTAATTCTACGCCACTTGATGGCAGCAGAGCAGTGGTACCTACCTTTTTTTTTTTCCTAATAAGGGTAACGGGGGCAGGATATTGTTCCTGTCATTCTGTTAGATTGTTTTTGTGTCCTTTGGGACTCTGGCCATTTCCCAAGTAAAGCACACCATTTCCAGACATTCACTTGTAGAAAGCAATCCCTTGCTTTAATAGAGGCTTTCATTTTCTGTGTAAATGCATGCCATATTGTTTGTGCTGTTTTCTGTACATCTTTTTTTGTTATTGGTACTCATTTGCATTCCCATCAAGGGAAATATGGCAGTAAACTCATTATACTAATCCAATTTTACCACCTTGTTCCCAGCACACAAAGCCTCCTTATGTTAAAAATTATAACCCCACTTGTATCTTTAAAAATTCCTCTTCTAATTAAAGCTGGAGCTAGCTGAGCCTGCTTACAACTTCAGCCAAGGCCAAGAACTGAATCTAGATATTTATTCAGATTTAGTTTGGTTCCAATTTAAATTATTTTCTCATCCCTACATCTTCTAACTCCATGCATCACCTGTTCACCTTCCTATAATCTTCCGTTCCTTTTCAGCTCACAATCTTTGACTAAATTAGAATTTCCTTCTGCTTCCAACCTGCAGCCCCACACGTGTTCTTTCTCTGTTGAATATTTACATGGATAAATCCAACAGGAATGCATTATTAGTAAGATCTACATACAGCACAAAGAAGATGGCTCCCGCTATGTTTGTGTAGCAGCTATCAGAAGGGGATCTGATGCATTCAGGGCCTTTTGGCAGTACTGTAATGAGACTATTAATAGAGTCACAACTGGAAAGTCATGGATAAGGCAACTGTTAAAAGAACCCAGAGAAAGGAAATGAGTTAAGAGGATTTCTGAAGAGTTACTGAAAAGGGCCATGTGGTAAGAACTTACATGTTAAAATAAGGTGAAGCGATATTAATGCTTATTGTCCAATACTAGTAAATACATGACCCAGACTTTTCAACTGGAATCTATTGGAAAATAAGCTTTTCTACGCCATGCTCTCATCATTTAGAATTCCCTTCCATAAGCTCTCAGGGAATCCTCCTCTCTTTGTGTTTTCAAGCTTAAATACCCTCTTACCAAGTTAGCAGATGGGCCAGTTACAGTGTTTATTTTACTGTAAGACATCTTTAAATATTTGCATGACAGTGCACTCTGATCAGTTGTATTTCATGGTATATTGTACTATAAACTCTGACCTGAGTTTATTTCTCTTGAAAAAGATTTGCATTCCTTTGTAAGTGAAAGTTTATGTTCTTTTTTTATA